CTTAGTTCATTCTCCGGTATTTCGTCTGGAACAGAATTGAACAAGAATGGCGAAAAAGAGCACTCTTAACGAACAGCCTACTTAGTTCCTTATAGGCCATCACTCCACCGGAGATATATGAGTGGAGTGACCTCAGTACGCTAAGGTACCTTTGGGGTATTCCTTTTCGAAGAAGGGAAACCATTACAGCTTCGCAATCCACTGAGTCAACCGCTCCTTTCAGGTCAAGGACCACCGCAATCGTTGGTCGGCCGTGGGCGTGACGCAACTCAAGGTCCAGACGGAAAGTAAAAATTTGATCAACACATCCACGACTTGCTGTTCACGAATATTGGTCTCTCTAAAAGGAGTCAGATGTCGAAGTATGACTTTGGTGACGATTGGGATCAAACTTATCCCGCTGTGGTTTTGGTGGTCGTTGCGAGATCCGTTCTTGAAAATAGGAACGATCAGTGATTCGCCCAAGATGAAGGAATGTGTTTTTGCATCCAAATGTTGTGCAGTAAGTTAGTAATAGAGTTTAAGAGATTATCATCCTCTATTGGTGTCAGTATGCTACATTATTAATTAGTCTACAACCAACCACTAGCAGAATCGAAGGTATCCCAACCCGGAAAATGACACCTAATGTACCGCGTTTCGCTTTGCAGTGACTTTATAACTCCTTCTCTAGCCTGCAAAGTCCGCTTCAAACAGAGCGCGGAGTGGAAGCCAACTACTAGGCATGTGCACTAAGTATTCTAACCAATGAACTCTACTGGCATATATACGGGATATCATTCAAGAATGCGAATCTTTGGAAAGGAAGAGTGGAAAATTTTCCCATTTGGTACGTTTTCAATAAAGCTAACCAATGCATAGAGTCACTAGTAACTTGAATTGATCACGCCAACTCATGTGAAATCGGGAGAAGAGTTTGCTTTCTCATCGGGACTGATGCGATGCAAAAGTATCACGAGGTGAAATCGTCTCATCCCCGTACACATCTCGTTCTCTAAATGCATTGCGGGTCCAGATAATTATCACCTCTCTTCTAAGCGAATTTGAGTTTGAAAAGATTATAAAGTTGGTCATTGCAGAATTTGCGACCACTATTGCCTATCGATTCGGCAGAACGTTCGAGTTGAAAAATACATCACTCGGAGTTGGGTGTCAAGAACAAAGGTCAAGTACTATCTCTTTACACTTGTCGGTCACTTCCAGACAAATCTGACGGAAATTTGTCATTATCATCAAAATAAACCAATCAGAGTATGAGCGTTTAAAACTGATAACTGTCTGAAGTAAAATTTCCGCGTCCTTTAAGTCAAACCGTTGTTTGGTTGCGAAGTTCTCTTTGCTGGGTAATCAAGAGATGAGTTTTCGAGAGCCTTTTGTTTATCGAATCGCTCTATTAACTTCCATTTGATTTTGAAGCAATGATTTCCCCGAATGAATTTGAAAAAGGCCAGTAGTGTTTTGCAAGATGTCTGCTGCAACGACATTTCTTTCGCATATTATCAGTTACTTCATGCGAATTACAATTGGACATTATATATGTTCATGGGGTATGGTGACAAATATATTTAAAGGCGAGATTCATACTTGTTCACGAGACAGTGTAACTAATTTACCAACACTTTTTTCTCCTAATTGGAACACAGATGAATGGAAAATTGTTCGCAAACGGATGAAAATGACGTGTTAATGTGTGCGCGTGTGTGTTTCAGTAGGTAGGTAGGTAGGTAGGCGGAGAGGGAAGTTAGAACACGTGGACATGCGAAGACACGAAGTTAATAGACCCATTAAATAATACTGACGATTATCAAGAACAAAAGTTGGAATTCATTATCCTAATGGAGGAGGTGTAATTGGTGTGTGTGGGTGGGTGGTTTGAGTGAATGGGGCAGGGAGAGGAGAACGAAAGTCACAATGATGAGGTGAGGGGTAAAGGATAGGGTAGGGCGGGGGCGGATTAACTCCACGGTCTCGTGAACAAGTATGAATCTCGCCTTTAAATCTATTTGTCACCACACCCCATGAACACATATAATGTCCAATTTTAATTCGCATGAAGTAACTGATGATATGCGAAAGAAATGTCGCTGCAGCAGACATCTTGAAAAACACTACTGGCCTTTTTCAAATTCCATCAGGTTGTTTCTTATTCACAATGAACCGAATAAACCTCCATTAAGTAGGCACTCAAAAGACAGCAGTCGAAACTGCCGCACGATAACGAAGGTTATTGGTTGTATAGATTGAAACTGAACAAACCCTGAATTAAACTTCACTTAGGTTTGACGGTGGTTGATGGATGACAGCCTCAAGTTGGGTCGAATGATAAATTTCGAAAACGGTTCAGGAGATGCGTGGCACATTCTGACATGTCATTTTTCTTCACTCCCAAGATCAACTGAACTGCAGAACCGATGGGATGCGCTTCATATATCTGTATGCTCCATAGCCATAATGAATTTGTTAAACGATTAAGGAGTTTAGCGACATATACTGCATTCCGTATGATAACCAGTCACATATATCGTTACCATCAATAACATTATCTATGAACAAGTTAGACAACTAGATTTGCTAGAAATATGTAGAAAACCAGCCTATCCCTTGCGTTTCCTTATATTCTGATACGTAATAAACATACTAGAATACGTCGTTGCGACCTTTCAGTTCCATTATGCCCTATTTTTATCACAACAAGCGCAATTACTTTGATCATACCCATTTAATTACGTAACTTAGTGCGCTAAACCGCAGGAAATAATTCAGCTCATGGTCACGGGGATCCACTTTCAGTAATGAGAAACAGTAGACCGAGTTCTGGAACCTTGAGTAACGACCTATAATTAGGACGTTATTTCACTCCACAGCCTATCCATTCAGCACCGATTCTGATATGCTTTGAATAAGGATGACAATCTATTTGACATGCGTTTTGCTTATTAGTTCCGGTTTTCTTGGTGTGGTGCACGATGAAGATGAAACCATTAGTTAAAACTCGTGCGATGTCAGTTAGAAGCAGTCACGATAAACTAGAAATCGACCAATTATCAACAAGTCATATCCAAGTTCTGGCTACACACAGCGGTTAGAATTCAAACTCAACAGTAAGAACGAGAAACAAATTCAATAATTAGATGGACAGGACGAACTCTATGAGTTTTTTTCAAACTTCTGAGAGTCTCGTCATCTTGCAGAATTCACCTAATCGTATTAAAAAGTGAAAACCGAGTAATGCTTAGGATACCATCTGTGCGAATTACTGTGAAACAGACGTATCCTCTTGTAATCAAGCGGTGTAGACCATTGGTATATTGTGCTGTAGCTATTTTGCGGGCAATACGAATGAGTAATGTGGACAGTGGCACTCGTGCATTTATGTTCAATTACCGCTCTAGCTTTTTACTTCTGTCTTCTACCACTTCCTTTTGTTTGCCAAGTGCAGATACCAGGTAAGTTACAAGACCTTCTGGATAGTTTGAGTGCTAGTGCAATCAGGTTCGGTATGCGTTTTGCACCTTCAAAGTGTAAAATGTTACTTCAAGACTGGGTTGGTCCTGAACCCAGCCTAACCCTAACTGGGGAAATAATATAGTAAGTGGATAAGTTTTGTTATCTGGGCAGCTATATCTCACCCGGTGGACGCATCACGGATGGAGTGTCAGCCTGCATACAGAAGGCTCAATTGGCACTTGCCAACTTGAGATATCTGTGGCGCCGTCGCGACATCCGGCTGTCTGTGAAGGGTCAAGTGTATGCTGCGGCAGTTCGGCCAGTTCTGCTATACGGCGCAGAAACTTGGCCATTAAGGAAACCGGATAAGGATAGACTATCGGTGTTTGAACACCGCTGTCTACGCAGCATTGCACGAATCTGGTGGGGCAGCCGGACGAGCAATGCTGAGGTTAGGCGCAGAGTTTTGGGTAAATACGGTCGCACACTGGAGCAAGTGATCGACCTCCATTACGTTGGTTGGGACATGTGTTACGCATGTCACCAGATAGGCTGCCACGGCCAGCGATGTTCGCTGAGGCAGGTAGTAGGTGGAAGAAAGTCAGGGGTGGTCAAGCTAAGACCTGAAATGAAGGTATGAAAACCCTAACCAGGAGTCTGGGTCACATAGGTCCTGTTAGGCTCCCTGGATGGGGACCTCGGGATGATCATATCGGATGGTTAGAGACCTTGAGTGATATGGCTAGGTGTCGTAAACAGTGGCGTTCGTGCATCTTGTCGATTTCTCCGCAAAATTGGTAACATGAAATCCTAAATTTTCTGTTCGACTCTACCTTCAACTTTCCTTTCTTCTCCTATTCTTCATCCAAATGGGCAGCCAAAAGACAGCAACCACTCCACTTTCAACTTTCCTCTCTTCTCCTATTCTTCATCCAAATGGGCAGCCAAAAGACAGCAACCAAAACCGGCGCACGATGGTACATGGTCAATGGTTGCAGAAACTGAAACCGTTTGCCAAATGGGTCTCTAAATGACAATAATCAACCCTCCCACACGAAACCGCAAGGCTGTACAGAATGTGAATTGAAATTCCCAGTTGGTAATGCTAGTAGCCACTTTTTCTGAGCGCACTAGTAGTTCGTAAATTTTAAGATCAGCACTCTATTCATTGATCGAAGAATTAGAGGTGTGCAAAAATCCCTTGGCGCAGTACTCTATGGCTTAGGGCCAACTAACAGCAGAGTCCATTAATACAGAATCAAAATTTAAACGCACCAATAGAGCGGCGTAAAACTCTTGCGGGTTTTGAAGAATTGAAATTCGACCGGGATCGACGCAGAACATAGGTAGGTTGCACCGTTCGATGAAAGTCAACATGTTCAGCTGAAAGGATCACACGGGAATAGCAAAATATAGATCCATCATCCACGTTAAACTGGAATACCACCAAGGGAACAAGAAAGTGGCAAATATTTACAGCTTTATTTTAATGAAATTGGACTGAAGAGCAGATCGGGCGCAAGAGAGAGAACGGACGGAAGTCAAATTTCAAGTCACGTTTGCATGGATGGGCGATGGCGTTTTGCAGTGAGAATATTTCGCTCATCTGCAAATCCCAGAGATCCTCGTTGTAATTCGATGAAATCGGACGTTTGCATTTGTTTTCCATTCAATGGGTCCACCATTTCCTTACGAATGACCGTGTCCACCACCTCTTTGGTCACAACTGCACCAGAAGTCTTGAGCACGACCAGGGGTGTCGCGTTTGTCAATAAATCTCTTGATACGGCACAACAGTATCGTGTCTCAGCAGTGCCAGAAGGTTTTTTGGATTTGTTGGTCAAAACCTGATCATCTTCAGCGAATTTTGTTAGTTTTACGGCGACCAGATCTTTGTACTTAAGTGGCTTGCCGCTCATCGGACATCGAACTACGGGATTTGGCTTCACCAAATCATCACTTTCACTCTTTGCTCCATTTGAGGTGCTGGGGGTCCAAAAGCTAGCTGCTTTTAACGCAGGTTTATCGGAAGATTCGCGAAGACTTAGGACGGAAGCCAAAGCCTCTGCTTCAGCAGCTTGTGCTGAAGCTTTGGCATGCGTTTCCAAAGTGTTAAGAGATAGGAAACGGCGTGCTTCTTCATCTTTTTCTGCTTTGGTGCGCATTCTAGCTTCAGCTTCTGCACGCCCCTTCTGTTTTTCAAACAATTTCAGCTTGCGCTGGTATTCAGCCTTTTGGTTGACGATATATTCCAAAATTGCGGCACGATCATACAAAAATCCGTCCGTGGTTACAACCGGATCTTTTGCAGGCTGCAGTGTGAGACAGCAACAGTCAAAACCCCGGATAGAATCTTTTCCCAGTCTAACTTCTTGTGTACCGTACCCGGATCGTAAAGCATCTTTCTTCCGCTCATAGTACGTGTACACCGTATGAGCTGTGCAGTTCTTAGCGTGTCGCGTCATCAATTCTGAAGTAGAAAAATAAGGAAATAAAAAGCGTTACTACTCAACATATAATATGAAATGAACCGCCTTGAATCTACTTTGCTTCACCCAGAAGACTTAAAGCTCAACTAATCCTCCCACAATTTGAGTTAAACCTTGAGCAACGATTTCAATAGCACTGTTGTCATGTGCGATGATTTTCATGGTTTTCAGAATTCTGGTTCGTAATCATTCTAATTTTACTGATGTCATCTTCCTAAGGAACAATTGGATTGGATTGGATTAGATTTCCAAAGGATAGAAGCTGCATCATCATCATCATCGTACAGCGAACTTCACTGACCGCTGCCAAACTCACAATGCATACAAGGTTAGTGGTAAAATTTAAGGCGTAACATCCATCATACACGAATTAGCTAACACGTCAAGATAAAACTGCCCAACGAACATCAAACTTTGCCCATTTTAAACATTCTGTTCTACGTAATCTGTAGATGATTTTATGGAGCATTAGTTATTTCTTTGCATAAAATAATGACAATTTAATTTTAAAAGCAGTGATTGTGTAATATCATTTTGGGAAAGCATTGTGTCAACATCATAACAATAATAATAATGGGGATAGGGATACAGAACAGTGAAATGCAGGTTAAAGAATTGCGATGTTTAACAGTAGACAAAAAGAATGACCCTATTTTTTGTGTCACCGCAAACGTTGGGGATTTTCCGTGTGTTGGCTCATCGTCTTTTTTATGGGGTATGGGACTTTAACAGGTAGACCGCACAGCAGTGGCGCCACTAACTTCCATTTTGGGCCATATCTTTCAGCGTCTCTTTCCGACAACAATCTTCACCCCTTGGGCCCAAACCTGGAAGGCGGTTTGCAACAAATGAAGCCAGCTACTTCGTAACTCAAGGCTGTCATAGTCCGACCGCCGCGGCACTTCTTCCAACCTCGCCCAGCGCGTGAGAAAAGAGCACGGAAATATAAAGAGAATAACAAATGTATTCTGCTTCCTTTTAATTTATTGAATATATAGATGTACAGTCAACTTTCAGGAAGCGGGTTGCGGCCATACAAAGGCTGCTTCGGGAAATATAAAAATAGGGAAGACGAGCGGTTCGAACACGTGACTCCCTGGTCACACTTTGGTGATCTAACCACTTAGCCACCACCAAGGTAGATGATGGGCAGGCATACGTAAAACTTAACCAAGCTATCGGAAGCGATTACTTCTCTTATTGAGCGACTAACCACACCCACTACACGACGACGAACCTCGTCATTGCTTACCCGAGGTTCCCACCGGACGCGAGCAATGCTTCGGAAACAACGGTGGTTGAATACAGAAAGTCGATTAGCTTCTTCCGCTCGGAAAGGACAGATCTCTCAACCGCAAAGCAGAAAACTACGAACTGCGGCGATGTTCACCCTTTCCTTTAGGGACGAACGGATGTCATGGCAGCGAGACATTTACACGGTGCAAAGCACGTACCATATTATTATTATTATTCAACACGAAGCCAATTACAGAGAACTGGCAAATGTGCCACAACATATGAGCAGAAAGAAGTCTGATGAATCTGTCCATAGGTTGTGTGGGCATGTTGCCCTGGCCGAGGAAGGGGATAACTTCGGGGTCCCGAAACCGTTGGCTAGAGAGCCAGACCTGCAAGACAACAGGACGGAGCTCAGAGTCCGCATTCCAATGGGAGCTGATGTCCAGTTCACTGAATCATGAGCCCTTCGGAGGAGGTCAACTATCCAAGGTGCCCAATCAAGCTAGTGACCACTGCCGCGAACAGGAAGGTGTGCGTGTGGTTTGTAAGCCTTATCTTGGTTGGTTTGGAATCAGGGTTTTTAGCCAATTCCCCTAGATGAACTTCCAATGGTTCACCAACCCGGATGTTGGCTTTTCGTCCTTTCACTTTGGTGGGAAAACATCTCCGCAACGGGAAGGCAGTGAGTAGGGCTTCCTCAGCAGAAGCTATTTGAGACGCTTGGTCATATGGGAGCATATCGCGAGGTGTAAGGAAATGGTGACCAGTCTCAATCTCAGACATCCACCCCCGACCATACTGACCATATCTGGATACCTCTATCACCAAGCGATTCAAAACCTGTTAGACTGTCTGTGCATTGTCACTCAACAAGGTATATTCTAAATCAAGAACTCTGTTACTTGGGGAAAGTTGGACCCAACCGTTTGTTAAACCGGACAAAGCGTCCTATAGAACATCCTCTATGATAAAGGGGAAGAGGAATGGGGACATAGGGCAGCCTTTTCCCACACCACTGGAGACGGTAAAGGGTAGTGAAAGCTAGCCACAGGCCCTAAATCGATCTGAGGTATGAGGACAAAACTCTTCGAGGATCAGCGTACATATCTGGTACTCCATTCCTCAAACGGTTACATAGTGCGGTCCTACCGACAGAGCTGAAGGCCGTGCGGACGTCTAAGAACACAGTGATTGCTGGTCTTTGATAGGCATGACGGTGCTCTAGCAGCTGTCGGAGGGTAAAAGCTTGATCGATGCATCCATGACCGGCGCGAATCAGTCTACTTACGCGTAGTGCACAATCGGCGGGAACTGGCGGACGCCAACAGCCTTCACGCTATTTGATTAAGGCATTTACCCTTATAATTGGTGTAATCATCGCTCGAACCCTTTTTGAAGATGGGGAAAACAATCGATTCATCCTCAAGAGCAGGGGACCTGCTCAGTGTGCCATACTTTACTGAATAGAGTTACCAATTCTACAGCAAGCTTTATTTCACCTTTAAATAAAACTAGCGGAATTCCGTCGGAGTTCGGCACTTTGTGACGTCCCAAGACTTGTATCTCTACGGATTTCCGTCTCAGAAGGTGGGTCTGTTGAGACAAACCATGGAACGCATGCCGGTGGCCTTCTAAACTGTGCCTCAAAGTACTCCGCTCAGCCTACAAGACGTCGCTGTTGATTATGAGTTGGCGAACGGTCACCTACCTACCTCACACCCAAGACTTTCCTACCGGTAACCCGGATGAGACGGAACAGCTAATGGAAATTTTCCATGACTGTAGCACGTTCCATCATTGATGCGCGTTGAGTTCACTAGATATCACGGTCCATGTGCAAGCTTGAGGTAAGTTCACGTCTCGTTACAATTCGTGTTTTATTATGCTCGCTGCCGGTCGGGATTGATCAGCGTGGACTTCGCAGGAATCCAGGGTGTCATGGCACTACTTGTCAGACCACAACTAACTAAGCCATTGGAAAGCAGAGCATTCTTGATAAGCGACCCGTGCTGATTGATGTTATCGGGTGGGGTCGGTTCTGGCTTTTCATCTAGCGCGTTTTGAAATACAGTCAGACAAGCTGGTTCGGACAGCTTGTCACAGTCTAACCGTCGTTGTGTAATACGTTTGTAACGCCCACCGGAGCATATGGACAGCTTGGCGTAAACTGATGTGCGGTCGGATGGGAGCGCTCCAGTACGATCGGCAGTCTTGTATTCAGCCCCACCATTTTTGGCATATGGCGATGTGGTCGCTGTGTGTTCATCACTGACTCGAAGAGGGCTCCTGAAGATCGTACTGGCGATGGCGGGAACATAGAGCCAACAGCCGTTCCCCGTTTTCCGAGCGACAGGAATCAAATCCAAAAGGACCTCTCAGATGTACCTCACTCGAAATCAACAGATCTACTCTAGCTTTCCTATATCCGGCTAAAATCACGATTTCAGCCCTGGTCACTTTACGCAAGAGTCAGTGTAGAT